CTGTAAACAATTTCCCCATAAATTAAGTAAATTTGAGAAATATCCAGTGTTTTAAGAACACTTAGTGATTTTTTTTTTTAAGTGCTAGCAGGAATGTCTGTCAGTGAGAGCAGGAGAAAAAAAATAAATTATTTTAGAATACAGATTTCCTATGTGATCAAAACTTCATTAAATGCACAAGAAAATTGGTCTCATGGAGACAATACATTCCTTGGTGAGAGAGTAAACCTTCCTGAATTAATTACAAAGTCGGGAAATCCCAATGGAATGTCATCTTATTAATTTTGCTTATTTAATTTGAAGACATGATTCTGAGTTCAAAACACAGGTTGATGAGAAAAATCAAGACACTTCTTGACTTACTTCATTTTAAAATACAGCACAGAGCTTCAAGTTTTACATTTTTAATATTGACAGGAAAAAAATCAAACAAATTGGTGCAATAGAATAGAATATGGCCTCCAAGAACAGGAACTCCACAAGGAGAGCAACAGAACCAAAAATCTGAGCACAGGGGTCTTTTCTGAGACTGATACTCCAACCAAGGACCATGCATGGAGATAACCTAGAACCCCTGCACAGATGTAGGCCATGGCAGTTCAGTGTCCAAGTGGGTTCCATAGGAGCAGGGACTGTCTCTGACATGAATTGATTGGCCTGCTCTTTAATCACCTCCCCCTGAGGAGGGAGCAGCCTTACCAGGCCACAGAAGAAGACAGTGCAGCCACTCCTGATGAGACCTAATTGACTAGGATCAGAAGGAAGGAAAAGAAGACCTCCCCTATCAGTGGACTTGGGGAGGGGCATGCATGCAGAGGGGGCAGGAAGGGAGGGATTGGGATGGGAGGAGGGAGGGAACCACAGGGGGGATACAAAGTGAATAACGTGTAATTAATAAAGAATTAAAAAAAAAAAGAATATGGCCTCCAAAGAAGTTTGCCTGTTTTTCTGTCTGCTAGTGAAGCAGAAATATCACATTCCAATGGCAAAAAGGAAATTATGTTTCTATTGATATTTAAAAAAAAATTGTCAGGCATGATGATACAAGCCTGTAATACCAACACAATAGAGGCCATTATAGGAGGATTTTGAGTTTAAGGCCAGCATGGACTATAGCATGAATTCTATGACAATCTGAGATATATAATGAAATGTTGTCTCAAAATAAATAAACAATTAACTAACTACTTATGTAAAACTAACAAGAGGTGTAGAGGGAATGGGGGAAATATGAGTAAAATATAATCATATGTATGCATAAAAGTGTCATTCTGAAACCCATTATTTTGTATAGTAACTAAAATAAATACAGATGTTATTAAAAATAAAAACGTTATATATAATAAAATAAATATATATAAAATAAATATATTTTATTATATAAAATGAATATAGACAGGGTTTCTCTGTGTAGCCTTGGCTGTCCTGGACTCACTTTGTAGACCAGCCTGGCCTCAAACTCAAAGAGATCTGCCCACCTTTGCCTCCCAGAGTGCTAGGATTACAGGAGTACACCACTGTGCCTGACTGAAAGATTATTATTTTGAGTTTAGAGAAAAGAGGGGTTGGTGGTGTCTTTTGTTTGTTTGTTTTTGTTTTTGTTTTTCCGAGACAGGGTTTCTCTGTAGTCTTGGGCTGTCCTGGGCTTGCTTTGTAAACCAGGCTGGCATCAAACTTAAAGAGATCTGCCTACCTCTGTTTCCTTGAGTGTTGGGATTACAGGCTTGTGTCTCCTTTTATTTTATGGGACATCACTTCACTACATAGCTCTTGCTGGCCTGGAACTCACCATGCATACCAACCTGACCTTAAACTCATAGAAATCCTCCTGTCTCTATTTCCCAAGTGCTAGGATTAAAGATGCTCACCACCATGTCTTGTCCTAACATTCAAGTTTTTAAGGGTTTCTGGGTTGTAAGATTGAATGAAAACAGCCTGAGATTCAGGCATAGCAGCAAGCAGGTTTTGTGGTGTGTGTGTGTGTGTGTTTTCCAATTAAATACATGTGGAATGCAAGAAATGCTTCTTCAACATATGTAATCGAGTGATCCTGTCAACACCCAGCAGATCATCTCCCTCCTTTGCTGAGAAATTGTTCAATGGCTTCTGTAGCACTCCAAGCAAAGGGCAAAATCCAATGGCCCCAGCGTTCTCGGGCTCCCTCTCTCTGCCTTTTCCTTTTGCTCAGGTGACTCCACTTGAGCTTTACTGCTTTTAAGATTTTCAAGAGAGGTATTGTCAATCTCAGCAGGTCTAGTCAGAACGTCAAAAACCAAGAGCCCAAAGGACAAAACTCCAAGTAAACCTAACCAAAACAATGATCCAAACACCAAAACAAACAACCGAAAGGAAGTTGTAAATAGACACTTTTCATGTCTACTGAGAAATAGCCTGTAGTTAGAGTTCTCAGGGTCTGGGAAGGCCATGTGCAGGTATGTACAAGTATGTGCAGGGGTATGTACAGCTATGTACAGCTATATGAGAGAGCCCAGAGCATTAAAAATCTACTTAGAGACAGGAACAAAGTGGTGGATTGAAGAAGCTAGGGATCTTTCAGAAGAGTCACTTACCATGGAAACAGTGGGAGAGGTTATCTAAAGAATATTTAGTCTTAGTTCACTTTGAAAAAAAAAAAAAAACAACAAAAACCTCACAGGGGTGACATGAATCAATTCTCAGGAAAAACTCAAACATCTAGGGATCTAGTCTGGGTGTTTTAGCCTTTTGTGGTATTTGATGGTTTTTAAGGGACTTTAACTTTTGCAACCCACCGCAGTAAGTAAGCTATCAACCCCACCCCCACTTTTACTCCCAAACTTGTTGACAGAGATCAATAAGTTTGTTGAGGTAAATTGTTGACTTTTTTATGACTGGAAACAAATAACATCAGAAGACCAAGAACATCCACATCAGTCGTAGAATTTACTGGTGCTATCAGTGTGGACTTTAAAAATATTGCTTTCCCCAGCCATTAGCTGTTCAGGAAACATGTTCTCAAGCATTTCCTACACTGTGCTATCATTTCAGGTATTTTCAAAGGATGTAATGTTCTCCTTAACTACAGTGTCAACATAACAATCTGCCATGCTCTTCTTTCTTATTTACTCCCATGTCAAAGTTCACAGTGCTACACCCTGATAACCCCAAGCTCTAGATATTTTCCCCATGGCACTCAGGTGGCCCAAAGGTAGAGTGACAGGCACTTTAAGTGAGCAAGAGCCATTCTGTTTACTCTAAGTGAAAAGGCAGGAACCACAACTGCTTGGTGCCTTTTAATTTCATGATATCATTTGTTTAAATTAGAATTTAATTTACCAAGAGGAAGCTGAAGCAATATCGTTCATTGTTTGTGTAAGAAAGTAGAGTCATGCTCAGAGGAGGCCTGATAAGCAAATTACTAGGTTTTCATCAGGCCTCCTATGTGGGTAGCCCCAAGGCTAAGAATTCTCCCACTTATGTTGAATATTAAGAATCATTTTGTAAAATGATTTTGTAAAAATATCTTGTGCGTGTCACTGGGAAATGCCCTGTTTCTGCTATGATGATAGAGTTACATACATATCTTTGTGAGTGGGGTAGGGAAGTTTTATGTATTGAATGGATAGTCTGGGTCATATAAATATCTAAATAATGGCTTTCAAGATTTTATTAATGTAAAACATTCCTGAAAGGAATTGAAATTATGCAACACAACACTACCCTTAACTGTATTGCTTTTCACTCCTACAAGAAAGCATATCAGAATTAAAGGATACAAAACTTCATTAATGACTGAATCCAAGTGCTGGGTATAAGCCTCTTGCTTTTTATTTGTTTTGTTTTTGTTTTTGTTTTTGAGACAGAATTTCACTCTGTGTCCAGTCATGTCTTAATCTTGTGGCCCTTGTCCTACCTCAGTCTCCTCCGTGCTGGAATCACAGGCATGTGCTACCACATCTGGTTTAAGACTCTTCATCTTTGTACTAGTTCTTGTGACTAATGTATTATGTTAATTATATCAACTTGTAATTTGAGATCGTAGACTCAACAGAAATGTAATAAGTACAATCTATTAGAGTTGAATCCTGAATCTGCTTAATCTAAAACTATCCCAATAATAAGTTGCATTAACATAAACATATTTTTCACTGGAGACATCTTGCTTCTCCTCTATTGGCTAGCAAAACAGGGAACCTGCTTTATCATCAGCCTCAATGCATGCAGTGTCAACTTTAAATGGTGGTGTGAGGACACGACTGTGATTTTCAGTAGGAAACAGGCAGGTAAGCTGAAACAGGGCAGGGGATAATGTTGACCTTACAGAAACTGTTTATAGCAGAAAGTCATGCGATAACATCTAAGAGCTCATTTTATGAGGTCAGGGATTCTAGTCATGTCAAAACCACAGAAGCCCATTTTGAAAAGACTATCACTGCTTCACACTGTCAGTAACTTAGATGCAGAAGTCCGGCATTGCTCACTAAGCTGTATCCTGCACTACAGAAGAGAACAGCCTGCCATGAAAAGGTGGGTTTATTACAGGACAGCTCTGTTAGCAGGACTTTAAATATGAATGGGGCGATCCATATGATTGTCTTAATAGATGCAAGAGAAACATCGGTCAAACACCTTATAGGAAGAAGAAAACAACATCAACAAAATCTCTGTCTATATCTCTCTCTCAATACACAGACTAAACGGAACTCTGTCCGCTTGCCACAGGCCCTCTGTGGAATGTCAGGAGTTAATGTACTTAATGTTGCAATGTCAGAACACTCCCCCTGAGATTAGGGTCAAGGCAGGTATGACCTCCCCCAACATTTACATGAGAGGGTTAGACAGTGTTCTCAGTCAAGCTTCTGTCAGTCAGAAGGATTTTGAGTGAAGGTTTCTGTGGATGTTGTCTTCATTTCTGGTCCTTTTATTGCTGGGTTGTATCCCATTGTACAGAGAGGCACTACATTTTGTTTGTCTACTCACTAAGTGAAGGTAATTCGATGTTTTTTTTTTTTTTTTTTCAGTTCAAACTATTGTAAACAGGAGTACAATAAATGCTTATGTTAAAACATGAAGGTACAGGACTGAAGAGATGGCTCAGAGGTTAAGAAGTGCTGACTGTTCTTCCAGATATATGAGTTCAATTCTCAGCAATCACCTGGTGGCTCACAACCATCTATAATGAGATCTGGTGACCTCTTCTGGCCTGTAGGCATACATGCAGGTAAAACAAAAAACAAACCAAAAAACCCTTAAAGTTATATAAGGACACTTATTAATGGGGAAAGATGTTTTTGACCAGTTGGCAAATGAAAATAAATTATAAAATAGGTAATGCTATATGACCCCTTTTTGAGATGGGGTCTTGCTTTTCAGCCCAGGCAGGACTTGAACTCAAGATCCTCCCACCTCAGCTTATTGAGTTCAGATCTCCAAAATCCAGGCAAAAAGCTGGGTGTGGTTGTGCATGCCTATGATATTGGTGCTGGGACAGAGACAAAGAGGATCCCTTGGCCAGACAATCATTGGTCTCCTGGTTCTCTGAGGGACCCGGTCCCCAATAGTAAGATGGAGAGTATTTCGAAGACATTGGTGTTGACCTCTTGCCTTCACGTGTGTATGCATGGATGAGTGCACCATTACACACACATCCACATGTATGTCACACACACACACACACACACACAATTGAACAAGCACTGCAAGGAGGATATGAAGATGAGCACCTTGAAAAGATGTTTAATATCATTAATCATCAAATAGAGGCAAACTGAAGCCCCTCATATCATGGATAGCACCAGCTATGAAAAAGAGTGTAAAGCAATGAGAAAATACCATTCTGGTGTGAACAGAGAAAATGTGTAACAATTTGGGACCTGATCAGGCAGATTCTTGTAAACATGCAACTACACTGTGGCCCAGCAAACACACTTCTAGGGATGTACACAGGAGAAATGAAAATATCTGGGGCTATAGCTCGGTGCTGGAGTTCTAGAGCAGTGGCAGAGCAGCACAGGTAAGTCCCCAATTCCAATCCTTAGAACAACATAAAGTGAAATCTGGACACTGTAGACTTGTACATGAATGTTCACAGCAGTGTTATTCATGCTGAATACTCTGGAAGAAAAAAATTACACTTCCATCTGGGAGTATAGCTCAGTGGTGGCTGGCATGGTTAACAAGCCTGAGGCCCAGAGTCCAATTCCAAACACACACACACACACACACACACACACACACACACACACACACACA